AAAACGTATTTTCCCAATCATATTTAATCAGTTCCCAGTTGTCTTGAACTCACTGAAGTCTGAAATTTCCCTGTTCCGAGTTTCCAGTTGTTTTGAACGCGGCAGAAGTCATGCTGGATTGACAGCATGTCCAATGTTGAATGTTTATCCTTTTAAGCTTGGAAAAGAGACCCTTAAACCCAGACTTGGATCACACATCCACTCCACTGAATAGCAGGCTTTGCAATGCTTGCATTTAGCCACTGATTCCTTCCAAACCACTCATTGTTGAATTTGCGATTTCCAACTTGTTGTGTAATGTTTATGTCCAATGGCCGATGAGCACCGATACGTTTTATCTATAATTTCTCTTTATAATTTTTCTTCATATGACAACGATTGAAAAGGATTTGCCAGTAGATTGTCGACTTGATTCATGATGATGACTGCTAGCTTGCTAGCTAAGATTTTGAAAGTATGATGTTGACCATTCAAAGCTACTGTAGATATAACATGATTTGATGTCATTTTATCTGTGGCCAATGACCTTGAGCCTTCTTGGATGGGCATTTCTAATGTAACTCTATGGCAGCACCCAAGGGGCTTGAATTTTCGAGCTCTCCCCGTAGATTTTGCGGTGACGTAGTGTCCCCATGAGTGACAGGACACTGAGCCAATCACGGCGCAACTAGAGAACATTACTAGAGAACGTACGGCCCAGTACATCACTGGGGCAAAGCTCCCTGCCATCCAGGACCTCTATACCAGGCGGTGTCAGAGGAAGGCCCTCAAAATTGTCAAAGACTCCAGCCACCCTAGTCATAGACTGTTCTCTCTGCTACCGCACGGCAAGCGGTACCGGAGTGCCAAGTCTAGGTCCAAAAGACTTCTCAACAGCTTCTACCCCCAAGCCATAAGACTCCTGAACAGCTAATCATGGCTACCCGGACTATTTGCACTGCCCCCCCACCCCATCCTTTTTACGCTGCTGCTACTCTGTTAAGTATTTATGCATAGTCACTTTAACTCTACCCACATGTACATATTACCTCAACTACCTCAACTAGCCGGTGCCCCCGCACATTGACTCTGCAACGGTACCCCCCTGTATATATAGCCTCCCTACTGTCACTTTATTTTACTGTATATATAGCCTCCCTACTGTCACTTTATTTTACTTCTGCTCTTTTTTTCTCAACACTTTTTTTGTTGTTGTTTTATTCTTACTTTTTTTGTTTAAAATAAATGCACTGTTGGTTAAGGGCTGTAAATAAGCATTTCACTGCAATGTCTGCACCTGTTGTATTCGGCGCATGTGACCAATAAAATTTGATTTGATTTGATTTGATTTGACATTACCAACCCCTACGCTCCGTATTTTCCGCTGGCTGCCCCACCACCACAGAAAGCACTGAATTTTGGAGCTGCCTTACTCAAGAAAGCAAAAAAGAGACCATGTTTGTACGCGGCTTTATTCACTCAATTACATATATATTTTTTTACATTGTGTTCAAACTGATATGTGACACGTATTAATGCCAAAATCACATCCAAAACAGGCAGCAACAGGCTCTGCCCCACCTTCCCTGAATGACGGGTCGCCACTGATCCTAACATTACTTTGTCAGGTAAAGACTGAATCAAAGCTCAAAAGAACAGACTGTGTCATCTCTGTTTCACCATGCTCCCCACCGGATCTGCGTTGCACCAAACGTTGAGCGTCACAAACACCAGGAATCGTCAATTTAAATTCTCCACCTCCACACTTAACGCTACCCCATAAATCACTCCCTTCAAGGGTGCCCTGTACCTAAGCGCAAAGCAAGATACAGGTCTTTCACCAAGTTACGTCACACGGAGCGCCTGATCACTTTGATCTGAAGAAACACAACCAAACATCACAAGTCCACTTCGGGTTACCTTCAGCGACTCAACAGCACCCACCATCTAGAAGCAAAATTCAGGTTTCCTCAAAATAATAATTATTGCAAGCTATGACATGAAGTAATAAAGGAATTTGAAAATGTGGCAAGAGAAAATATAATTCGCCCTTATTAAACTCGCCAGAACATTTGCATAAGGGGGTATGGTATATGGCCAATATACCACGGCTAAGGGCTGTTCTTAAGCGTGCCTGGATACAGCCGTTAGCTGTTGTATATTGGCCATATACGGCAAACGCTGTGGGTGCCTTATTGCTATTATAAACTAGTTACCAACGTAATTACAACAGTAAAAAGTAATGTTTGTCATACCCGTGGTATATGTTCTGATACACCAAAGCTTTCAGCCAATCATCATTCAGGGCTCGAACCAGGTTCATAATTGTAAATAAATCCTCTTTGCGCATGTGCATAACTATAGATAAATCCAACACGAGAGTTTGAGTGATGAAAGTTGGACAGAGGATCTTGACATCTCTGAGCAAGAAAAACTTGGATGAACATAAAAAACGAATGTTAGGGTATTTTCTGCCAATTCTGCTGTTATTATGTGCCAGCTGGTTTAGAGAATGCCAAGAGTTTGCGAAGCTGTCATCAAGGCAAAGGATGGCTATTTGAAGAATCTCAAATATAAAACATGTTTTGAGTTGTTTAACACTTTTTTGGTTACTACTTGATTCCATATGTGTTATTTCATAGTTTTGATGTCTTCACTATTATTCTACAATGTAGAAAATAGTAAAAATAAAGAAAAACCCTTGAATGAGTAGGTGTGTCCAAACTTTTGACAGGTACAGTATATAGATATATTTATATTTGTAGCTAAACAGGTGGGGCCCCTTAATGACGGTTCGCCACTGAGAAGGCTAATGTTAACTAGCTAACGTTGCCCTGAATGGAAGTTAGGCTAGCGAGCAAGCATTTTAGCCAGGTGGCCTAAGACAACAAAAATTAAAAGCCTGTACTGTATGACAGAGTGATAGACCGTTTCGTCAACATGAAAGAGAGGAGGATGGCATTGGTGTTTCTCTACAAGTAGAGTGAGTCAACATGTTTTTCTGCTTGCACGAACGCGCACACACACACACAAACACACATACGCACACAAAAATCTGAACCATGGACAGCCACATCATATTTAGCTGACGTTGATTGGAATAAATTGTTTTTGGTATCTTTTAGTTGTCACTGTATTAGACTAAGCACAGATGATTTGATGATGTTGAAGTTGAAATGGTGCTGGAATAGTGGAGGTAGCTCCTGTTTTCTTTGCGACTTGCGGTAACTCTCTGTGGGGGGATGGGGGCTTGGCTTCCCCAGTGATTTTACCCCCGCACCGCTACTGCAATAGGAGTCATTGGTCTAAGGGTATGATTCTTGCGTATGGTGTGAGAGGTAACGGGTTCAAATCCAATGCAGAGCCCTTTATACAGGAGCAGTCTTACAAAAAAAATGGTATATCAAATCCCTGAAACACATACAGTCAACAGTAGTTTTAACAATTATTTTCAGATAAAAAGCCGAAATGGGCTCATTGGTTTAGGGATATGATTCTCACTTAGGGTGTGAGACGTCCTGGGTTCAAATCCCGGACGCGCCTTTTATACTGGAGCAGTCTAAGAAAAAACCTGTACATCAATTTACCGAGCTGCTTTTGACTGAATCACTCGCAAAGCTAACAGTAGTTTTAACCTATATTTTCAGATCAAAAGGGCAGGGGTGTCAAACTCATTCCATGGAGGGCCGAGTGTCTGCAGGTTTTTGGTTTTTCCTTTCAATTAAGACCGAGACAACCAGGTGTGGGAGTTCCTTACTAATTAGTGACCTTAATCAATCAAGTACAACGGTGGAGCGAAAACCAACAGACACTCGCCCTCCGTGGAATGAATTTGACACATGGTCTAGGGTATGCGTATTGCTTTGGGTGCAAGAGGTCCTGGGTTCAAATCACAGACAGCCTGCTATTACAAAGGTGAGAAATGTAATCCTCTCGGAGGATGTGTTGGTACCATTCTTTATTAATGTCTGTGTTCTTAGGAAAATATGTGAGTGAGCCCACTCCCTTGGCTGAGAAGCAACCCCACACATGAATGGTCTCAGGATGCTTTACTGTTGGCATGACACAGGACTGATGGTAGTGCTCACCTTGTCTTCTCCAGACAAGGTGTTTCCCGGATGCCCCAAACAATCGGAAAGGGGATTCATCAGAGTAAATTACTTTACTCCAGTCCTCAGCAGTCCAATCCCTGTACCTTTTGCAGAATATCAGTCTGTCCCTGATGGCTTATTTGCTGCCCTTCTTGACACCAGGCCATCCTGCAAAAATATTCGCCTCACTGTGCATGCAGATGCACTCACACCTGCCTGCTGCCATTCCTGAGCAAGCTCTGCACTGGTGGTGCCCCGATCCCGCAGCTGAATCAACTTTAGGAGACGGTCCTGGCGCTTGCTGGACTTTCTTGGGCGCCCTGACGCCTTCTTCACAACAATTGAACCTCTCTCCTTGAAGTTCTTGATGATCCGATAAATGGTTGATTTAGGTGCAATCTTACTAGCAGCAATATCCTTGCCTGTGAAGCCCTTTTTGTGCAAAGCAATGATGACGGCACGTGTTTCCTTGCAGGTAACCATGGTTAACAGAGGAAGAACAATGATTTCAAGCACCACCCTCCCTTTAAAGCTTCCAGTCTGTTATTCTAACTCAATCAGCATGACAGAGGGATCTCCAGCCTTGTCCTCGTCAACACTCTCACCTGTGTTAACGAGAGAATCACTGACATGATGGCAGCTGGTCCTTTTGTGGCAGGGCTGAAATGCAGTGGAAATGTTTTTGGGGGGATTAAGTTCATTTTCATGGCAAATGCAATTCATCTGATCACTCTTCATGACATTCTGGAGTATATGCAAATTGCCATCATCAAAACTGAGGCAGAAGACATTGTGAAAATTAGTATTTGTGTCATTCTCAAAACTTTTGACCACGACTGTACATCCTCTCAAGATTTCATCACATTCCTGATTTGTCTTTTTGTATGTAGTCATTTTCAGCTCTTCAGGTCCTACTCACTGTTGTCAGATGCTCAACTGGATGAGAGGATCAAAGAGCTGATAGGGCAGAATGAAGAACTTGGTGCAGAGTCTGTAAGGGCATGCTTAAGAGGAGAGGGTGTTCGAGTCCAGCTGGAGAGGGTCAGACAAAGTCTGATCCGTGTCAACCCCCAGGGAGTTGTGAGGAGAGCCATGCAGCAGCCTCTACACCGGAGGCAGAACAGTTGCAGGCCCAAATTCTTTGTGGCACATCAAGCTGATCCGGTAAGTGCATACTCTTAGGCCTCCTGAACACTACACATTTTTACAATCTTAACATCGTAAAAAACTAATGGTTTATATGGTCATGAAAGAATTGTGGCCCTATTCCCGGGTATACAGTAGCTTCAGAAAATATTCACACCTCTTGACTTTTTCCACATTTTGTTTTGTTACAACCTGAATTTAAAATGGATTAAATTGTCACTGGCCTACACACAATACCCCATAATGTCAAAGTGGAATTATGTTTTCAGATTTTTTTAAACAAATTAATTAAAAATGAAAAGCTGAAATGTCTTGAGTCAATAAGTATTCAATCTCTATGTTATGGCAAGCCAAATATTAATTAGGGAGTAAATATTTGCTTAACAAGTCACATAATAAGTTGCATGGACTCACACTGTTTGCAATAACAGTGTTTAACATGATTTTTGAATGACTACCTCATATCAAGGCACTGTAACTGTAATAATGTTATCAGTAATAAAAAACAGAATGGTGTCACTATAAGAGGGGGATAAAAAAGTTGTTGTTGCAACCTGTTGTAAAACAAATGTATCTTGTTTTTTATGTGGAAGGTTGTTATCCATGGTGCTGTGGATGGCTACAGCAGACCTTTGGTGTTTTTGAAGGCCTCCGACAACAACAGGAGTGCCACAGTCATGGAGTCATTCGAAGCAGCCATCACCAGCTACGGAGTACCATCTCGGGTGAGATGTGACCGGGGGGGGTGAAAACGACCATATCTGTGCCTTCATGGAGCAATTCAGGGGTGGTAAGAGAGGAAGTTCCCTCAGGGGAAGGAGCACAACCAGAGGATAGAGCGGCTGTGGTGGGACATCTCAGATGTCACGTCTGGCATGCCAACGTTTACCATGACCTGTTCACCTTCTTGGAGACGGAACAGATCATCGACATCAAGAATGAGGTGCACTTGTGGGCACTGCACTTTGTGTTCCTGCAACGGGTGAACAGAGATCTTGCTGTGTTTGCCAGTCAGTGGAACCACCATGGGCTGAGGACTGAACAACGGCAGTCACCTCTGCAGTTGTTCGTCTCGGGTTCCCTGGCAATGCAGAGGGCCAATCTGACAGCAGTAAGGGATTTGTTCGCACCTGCTTTAACAACCATCACCTCTCAAGCCACCACCTCAGCTCCTCCAACCACCACCCCAACCTCAGCTCCTCCCAACCACCACCTCAGCTCCTCCAACCACCACCCCAACCTCAGCTCCTCCAACCACCACCTCAGCTCCTCCAACCACCACCCCAACCTCAGCTCCTCCAACCACCACCACCTCAGCTCCTCCAACCACTGGCTCCCACAGGTTTTATTGGTCGAAGGGTCCTCGATGCAGCCTGGGAGTGACATCTACAGAGGGTTATGGCAGTCTACACATTGCCCTAAGTGCTCCACGCTCACCCTGTGACTGGGACGAGGGATTGGACGCTATATCTTCAGTGCCACTCGTTCCTTGAATCAGTTCACTTATAATACTGTTTGAAATGTTAACACAACTCATATTTTTTCAGTTCTTGAATCAGTTCCCTTTTTATAACACCAATACATAACACCACCCAATTAGGACACCATCAGTGAAACTCTTCTTCAACCAGCTTTGGAAACCCCACTCCTCCTTGCACAGAAACTGTACACCCGAGGTTAACACTCACCCATCTTCACACACTGTATGATTTGGTCTCTAGAAAGGTACTACAGACACCACTGGCGTCGCAGGTTTTATTGGTCGGAAGGGGTCCTCAGATGCAGCCTGGGAGTTGACATTCTACAGAGGGTTATGGCAGTTCTACAATTGCCCTAAGTGCTCCACGCTCACCCTGTGACTGGGACGAGGGATTGGACGCTATATCTTCAGTGCCACTCGTTCCTTTGAATCAGTTCATCTTTATAATACTGTTTGAAATGTTAACACAACTCATATTTTTTCAGTTCTTGAATCAGTTCATTTTTATAACACCAATAATAACACCACCAATTAGGACACCATCAGTGAACTCTTCTTCAACCAGAGCTTTAAAAACCCCCTCCTCCTTGCACAGAAACTGTACCCGAGGTAACACTCCCCCTCTTTCACACACTGTATGATTTGGTCTCTAGAAAGGTATTACAGACATCTTCAACCCTTAACAAAGAGTCTCAACGTGTATGGCCCTTCAGTGGGTTCAGAGATATATCTATGTGTTTAGGTACTACTGGAGTTGGCAGTGCGCAGTGTTCCCGACACCGTTGAGGTAACTAGACAACTCGTGCTGAAGCGACCTACCCCGCCTCTCCATTTACCTTTGATTTTGAATGACCTTATCACGCTTTGTTGATTTCCCTATTGAGTTGTGGATATATCTACTATTATTCATTATTGTTTGTTTTTTACTTTGCCATTACTGTATTCCTGCTTTTGGAAACCCCTTCCACCCTCCCCCCTATTTCACACACTGTATGATTTGGTCTCAAGAAAGGTACGACAGACATCTTCAACTCTAAACGGACAGGGACCAGAGTTTAGACAGATGTGGCCTCAACAAAATTAAGTAATATATAATAAATAATATGCCATTTAGCAGACGCTTTTCTCCATTCCATTACGATTTTGTTTGACCATATTTGGAGAGAGTCAGGTACTTTTAAGATATACTGCCTGTGGTCGAGGTCTATTGTATTTTGCTCTATGATGCTTTAGCACAACAGCGGCATCTGCTGACTGAATATTTGTCTTCCACTCAGTGCAACACCACCCAGGAGACGCCTACTGAAAGCACTGGATTGGAGCATTCAGAGTGTGCCTGCTGTGGGAGGACAACAGAATATTCTGAATGGACAGTAAAACAGAACTTTACCTTTTGGAATGCCCAATCGGGACTTTTATAAATTGCTAAAATAATTGTGTGGAACGCACTACAGTCTGCTCCTTAACTTTTTTTTTTTAAACCAAGACAAGGATTCTACTGGTGGTTTGGCCCCCGTGACATTTTCATTTTATATAATTGTGATTAACAGCAGCCTATTACAGTTAGCAACACAAAATTGTTGACACCTCGAATAATGTGGTTGAAGCTGTACTAGTACAGGGCTTTCCAACCCTGTTCCTGGAGAGCTACTGTCCTGTAGGTTTTCGGTCTAACTCTAATCTAGCGCACCTGATTGTAATAATTACCTGGTTAATAAGTTAATCAGGTTAGTTACAAGTGAGGTTGGATCGAAAACCTACAGGAGGGTAGCTCTCCAGGAACAGGGCTGGAGAGCCTTGGATTAGAGGATCTTAGAGATCAATGCATTTGGAATTTGATAAGTCACTACAAAGGTGCAGTTCCCAGAAGTGGAGCTGTCACAATGCAATGGATGGGAAGCCTTATCATTTCATATGGTTCTAATTGAATGATAATGGTTGAAGTTAATTTGTTCTTAAATGTAGGACATCAAATGATCAGATTTGGATGAGTTGGCTGCAATATAGCAGCAGTTCTTCAGTCTACTTCAGTCAACGTCAGTCAATATCAGTAAAGGATATTGTTTATTAGTGAAGAGTCAGTAAAGTGTTTCTGTAAAACAATTAAACCATAAAACACCAAGACAAACAACAATATGGAGTGTATAATTAATTTCATTTCAAATTAATGATCATTACATGAACATTAACAGCCAATATGGATATCCTAACAATACATAGACGGTAAACAGATAAATGCTTAAAAAATTATGATGTGCTGTCTAAATAAATAAATGCCATACCCATCAATACTATTATACACAGACATAACTTAAAACTTTCAAACACTCAATTGCTACTGTAGTTTAGTGCTATTAGATAAAATGAATGCATTCTACAAATTCTGTACCATAAAAATACATATTTAGAAAAACAATTAATTTAGCTGCCAAATATATCTGCTTACTTGATTAGTCTCCATAAGTCTGTTGACAAGTGGGCAGAAAAGAGGTACATTATGAAATTCAAAGAACAGGGTTGGAAATGTACAAGTCTTTAGTACATAGCTAGTACATATAAAAAGTGCCCTGAAAATAAGTCCTAAATATGAAACAGTGGAAGAGGGAAGGCAGAACAAGTCCCACAGACTTGTGAATACAAGTAATTTACCCTCCAATGTTCTAACTATTATGTGTCACTCTCCACTAAGGTGTGTTTATGCAACACCGAAATGCGGGGAATTCACAATACCTGAGGTCAAGAATTCCCTAAAGGCATTGTAGGTGCTATGAAGAGGGAGCCTTAGTGTCACAGCACACGTGTTTGCCTTTGGGTACTTTTTCTACTGCTGCCTAGCGAGACTGCCTCTCACTGTGTGGTGGAACTCGATGGTTTACTCAAACCCAAGGGGTGGCACCACCGTCGCCCCGGTAGCAAACTCCAACACCATCGCCACTGTTAAAGAAGGACATTCTCCATCTGAGGAGTACACAGTAAAACATTTAAAATACACATTCAAATCACAAATGGAATGCAGTTACCGATAAACTTTAACAACTGAACTACTATCTTACCTTGTACCTCGGCCAGCCAGTTGAACCAGTGGCAGATGGTGTCATTCTCCAACCACCGCCGGTTGCCGCCTGGAATGGAATAGGTGACAATAAACAGGTTCCTCAGGTCCCTGGCAGTGGGAGGCTTTATGATTTCCACAAAAAGTGCTCGGAAGCTGTCTGGGTGCTTCCCCAATGCCTCCAGCAGCCCAAAAGAGTTGAGACCATATTTGACCTGTTATGGTTTAGAGACAGTATGTGTTTATAAATAAAACATATTAAGTGTTGTGTATTGATTTAGGGGGGGTGGACCGATTGAAAAATATTTGTTAGATGTAATGACATGTACTTCACATAGATTTATAACAGAGTTGACTTACTACTCCAAGGTCACCTGCGTGCTCCCTTGGACAAATTGTTGAGCTACCAATTCAACTACACCATCCAACTCAACCACATGTCCTCCATTGTCTTGGCAACAATCCTTTTCAGCCTCAGTAGGCTCAGCCATTCTACCGATTCCTCCAATTTGTTATTCACCTCTGATAGGTCCTCTGCTTTTTTGATCTAGAATAAAAATGTAGAGAATTTTAAACACAGAAAAAGAAACCATACATGTAAGGCCCCGTGTAGCTCAGTTGGTAGAGCATGGTGCTTGCAACGCCAGGGTTGTGGGTTCGATTCCCACGGGGGGCCAGTATGAAAAAGTATGAAAATGTATGCACTCACTAAACTGTAAGTCACTCCGGATAAGAGCGTCTGCTAAAATGTAAAAAAAGCATGATCTATTATTTCCTTTTGCTGTTAGGGAGGACATAAAACTCTCAGAGTAGTATGGCTCACCTCCTCCAGACTGAGTGGAGGAGCAGGCTTCCCACACACTGCTGCGAAGAGTCGCTCAGAAAAGAAGTGTGTCCCAACTCCTCCATGGACCACACAAACACACTGACCATTTTCCCAATGGTTCCATACAGGGCCTCATGTGATGCTAAAAATACAATTTCAAATGTGTGCCAACTTTATTATCCCTATGATCTCTCGCCCTGGACAAAGTACCTGAAAAAGCCTCTTCACTCATTTTTTGGCCTTCTATTCTGTATTTTACATGGGTAAAAAGAAAAGAAGACTTACCGTGGACATCCGTTTCGCTCCTTCAGGACCCTCGAACATGGCCGAGTCCCTCATGAGGAGCCTGTAATACTCCCATGGTCAACTGCCCCCTCCACCTTGGACTCAACGTCCACAAAGGCAACATCCATCTTAGCCCCTGCATTAAAGTTTTTGAGTTGAAACGCATGAAAGCTACTATCTAGGACGTTGCCCCTGTGGACGTTTATCATGTTGGCGATGGGGCACTTGTCCTGGTCCACTCCGCTCCAGAGCGTACGTAAAACGGTATGTAGGTCCATTCTAGAGGGGGTGGAGGGGAGCTCATTCAAAATGTATGACAAATCCAATAAGGATTGATCCGAAAGGGAAAATAGTCTGACATTGAAGTTTTAAATACTACATTTAGTTTATAAACAAATGCTCTTAAAACAACTGACTCAGTCTCTGGATCCATTGATGGAGATGAGGGAGAAGTAGAAAGTGTAGCTCAGTTGGTAGAGCATGGCGCTTGCAACGCCAGGGTTGTGGGTTTGATTCCCACGGGGGGCCAGTATGAAAAAAAAAATGCACTCACAAACTGTAAGTCGCTCTGGATAAGAGCGTCTGCTAAATGACTAAAAAAATAAAAAAAGAAGAAAAGAGTGATGACATTGAGGGGTGATAAGGAAAGTCTGGTGATGAAGGAGGTGAGTGAGGAGGAGGCTGATGAGAGGAGAGGGGACAGGTGAGTAGAGGACAGGTGTAAGGTGAGAAGAGAGCACAGTTGAGAGGGGGCAAGGGAGAGATGAGGAGATAGGATTGCCTGTAATTGGACAGAAACAACCACACACAAAGGTTATAACTATCAAGTAGTTCAACTGTAGTCCGATACAAACATCAAATGTGTTATTATTAAGTAGTGTCATGCTAGTCAACTCCACAGACAACCACAACACATACAGTGTTGCTCCTCCAACGGCCTGTTAATCGTGCTCTTCAGGGTTGCGAAGCCCGCTGCCGCCTAGAGGGTAAAAACCTTGCTCGAGGCATCATCCTCCCCCACAAAATCAAACATCAATATAACAAAGGACCAACATTAACAATTGTAATTCAGCCTGAAATGTACATTTATAGTACTGAGTTTATCAACAAGTGAATGAAGGACTTACCTGAATGGATTCAGAGAGCCGGAATCTCCTAATCCGCTCCTTCCCATCCGGGTATTTGATTTTAGAGGGCACTCCATCAAGCTGCTCTGGATGAGAGACCACCCTCTGTCTTCTCTCCTCTATTGACTACAATATAGAATATTGTTAGTGTTAAGTTCTAAATATATTTATACCGCAGCATTGTTGAATTCTAGAATGGGCATTAAAAACAGTTCAGAAACAAAACGGCACGTAGAACTACGTTTAACCATTTATTAAGCAATGAATAATGCAAGTATTGGCGATACAGGCTCAGCTCCTTCAGGGTAGCTCACTGCCCAAGCAAAGCGTCAATATAAAATAGCCTACACTCAGTGAGTGCGAGAACCCAGTGCATAGTAGCAGTAGCAGCAAGCAGCAGCAGGACTTCTGCGGATAAATGTGTGCTTTAGTATTATTTTCTTTGGCAACTGTGGTATAAGCGGGATAAATGCCTCCGTTCTGTACATTACCTTGGAAAAATGAACTCCGCAAAGGGACTCGACTCCGCCTTGTCCCGCTGCGTTGTCCATTATTTCCAAGGTAATGTACAGAACGGAGGCGTTTATCCCTTACATAATACACAGATGATATCAACTTGGTGAAATCCCTTATCTTCCTCCGCCTGCTCTCCCACTCCTCAAAACGACAATGTTTCATCTCCTGTGGCAAAAATAAGTATTGAATTAATCTGTTTTGTGTATGAAAAGGTAAGTGTTTCCTGTTGGAATTCCAATGATGTGTGATTTGAAAACATTTTTTACATTTACATTTTAGTCATTTAGCAGACACTCTTATCCAGAGCGACTTACAGTTAGTGAATACATATTTTTTTATACTGGCCCCCCGTGGGAATCAAACCCACAACCCTGGCGTTGCAAACGCCATGCTCTATCAACTGAGCTACATCCCTGCCGGCCATTCCCTCCCCTACCCTGGGCCAATTGTGCGCCGCCCATGAGTCTCCCGGTCGCGGCCGGCTGCGACAGAGCCTGGATTCGAACCAGGATCTCTAGTGGCACAGTTAGCACTGCAATGCAGTGCATTAGACCACTGTGCCACTCAGGAGACAAGATGTCGATTTGCCAAGTTTTATTATATACATACAGTGGGGAAAAAAAGTATTTAGTCAGCCACCAATTGTGCAAGTTCTCGCACTTAAAAAGATGAGAGAGGCCTGTAATTTTCATCAGAGGTACAACTTTAACTAATTAGGTGGGAATTATTTGATTTAAATAAAAAGACTGAAGTACTTTGAATAACGGCAGAATATTAGAAACGCGCTAAAACGAGAAAACAGCTCCTCACAGCTCCTCAAAAAGCCTGTTCCCCCTGGACAAGAAAGAAGTAGAGTTGCGAGGGGAGGGGCTGGAGAGAGCGAAAGTGTGGTTTTTGGAGCCAGAAAAGACTGGCAGTTGGCTGGGAACGCATGTGGGTATCTGACGAGAGAATGTTCTAAACTTGCTCACCCGAGCATCATGGGTGAGAAAGTAGAGAATGTTTACATTTGTGGTAATTTGGCAGACGCTCTTGTCCAGAGCGATTTATGGGAGCAATTGGGGTTGAGTGCCTTGCTCGAGGGCACATCGGCAGATTTTTCGCCTGGTCGGCTCGGGGATTGGAACCGGCGACCTCTCGGTTGTTGGCGCGGCGCTATTGGTCACTAAACTGCCAGCCGCCCCATATGAGTTTAAGATTGTGGCGTTGTTGGATAATGTGATTGGAATAAACTGACCATAAGTAATGTTGTTTTAGACGTAATGTATAATATAGTACAAAGCAAATAGAGGGTTAAATTGAACTAATTATCATGGTAGAGCTAACGTAGTACAGTGAGGGAACTTCATTTTGTGTCAGAGGGTAAGATGAGATCATTAATGGTACTATTGGTGGAAACATATTTATCATTTCAAGGCAGTAACAATCTGCATTTATGAGTGTAAATTCCACTGCTGATGTGTTGATTGAATGGGTACGATGAGTATTTGGTTTGGTAATGTTGAATGGACTATTTGTAGCGTGTTTAGGGGTTAAATAGAAAAACTAACTTATTCAATAGGGAATCAAAGGGAGAGAGAGTTTTTTTTGCTGAGGTGAAAGCTACTGCGATTTTCATTTGGTGACGTCACTTGCTCTATGAACTGGGAGTAGTTACTTTGAGAGCATCGCAGATGGTGTGGAGTGACTGGCGATGTCCCTGGTTCGAACACAGGTAGGGACAGTAGACAAAGCTTTCGCAGTGGGGCTATATACCTAGATTACTATGTGGATTGAGAAATGTGAAAGGTTGAATTAGATAGCTTAAATAGAAGTATTCTAGAAAGAGAGATAGTTTTTACGTGTATTAAAAGTTGCATAAGATAGCTTTAGTAGTATTTTAGATAAGTCTATGAAAATATGTTACAGGTACGAATTACATTATTTCCTAAGAAGGAAGATTGTAGGGACATTTCCCGCGCCTCCCCCATAATGCAGGAAGGAGCAGGAGAGGGAAAGGAGAGATAAGAGACAGGACATAGTTCAGATAATAGGAATGTCATTAAGCGTATGCTGATAAACGATAGCAAGTATTTGTTTTATTAATTAGGGCATAATCAGAGAGAACAGTTAAATAAATTGAATAGCGAACTGAAATGGGTTAGCGGGAAAATACAAAATAATTGGACGATTATAGAACGATAATTTATTTTGGTTAGGATGCAAGTATGCATTGGCTGTTGTGCTGGGGAAATAGCGCCAGCCTGTGGTGGGTTATGGATTTGTTACACAAACTTATATTTTAAACTAAAGTGATGGAATAGGCTACAATTATAACATTATCAGAAAAAAGACACAATTTAATGTGAAACAGTTATTACAATTATTATTGATAGTTATTACAGTTATTATCATTGATCCAGTAATGATATAAGGATAGTAGAGGAAGGCAGGGGATTTAATCTCATTAGGGAAGTTATATTAGGAAGAAAATACCATTAAATGAGGGAACATTTGATGTAACCGTGATTGTATTGGCTAAAAACTCAAATATGACATTTACAGGGGGGACAGGAACAATAGAAGGGGAGACAGATTTTCCTAGGGGGTTGAACAAATAATTGATAATGGATCATTTGAGATGAGATCACATGTAGCAGAGTTAGGGTAATCAATTAAATAATCATTGTATACTCGAGGAATTTTGAGTGGTTTAATGAATTAGATATGAGGAATTAGAATGATACAAACAATTATTGATGGGTTAAGACTGGGAATATCTATCATGTTTTGTGTGTACTACCATCTTTAGATTATAACTAGGAGAAAGAGATTAGCTCATCTCAGTTAGGCAGTATTTAGGTCATAAAAGTGAGCTATCAAATTGAGTGAGGCCTGGCTATTTGTGATTGTTGTTTTTTCAAATTGGGTTAAAATGGGTTCACAAAGCCAGAGGCTGTACAGAGAAAGGTGGAGCCCCCATGTTGCCCTAGTGAAAGAACATTCAGAGGAATGGTTATCACTAGGTAAATGGATAAAACAGGGGGAAAACATTACTGACTGGCAGAATACACCAAATGGGGATCAGTATGGCCACTCCACTGGGAGATATAGAAGAAAGTTAAATTGGAGAGCAAAAAACCCAGCTCAGGGTTCACCTGGAGATTTATTTATTATTATTTATTTTTTGTTATTTAGCAGACGCTCTTATCCAGAGCGACTTACAGGAGCAATTAGGGTTAAGTGCCTTGCTCAAGGGCACACCGACAGATTTTTCACCTAGTTGGCTCAGGGATTAGAACCAGCGACCTTTCGGTTACTGGCACAACGCTCTTAACCACTAAGCTACGAGATAAATTTTAACGGATGACAGGAAGAGATTTTCTTAACTCAGGAACAGGAGGCTGAGTTAGCAGCAATTCCGTTCAAATT